TCTGGTTTGAATATGAGGAGAGCTCCTTTTAACATTTCTTATAGGGGGGAATCTAATGTTTACAAATTCCTTCACCTTTTTGTTTTGTCTGAGAAGGTCTTTATTTCTTCTTCATGTCTGAAGGAGAGCCTTGCAGGGTGGAGTTTTCTTGGCAGCAATTTTTATCTTTAGTTATTCTGATCAAGTCATTGTAGTCTCTTCTGCCCATAATGTTTCTTATTGAGATCCAGCATTAGTCTGATTGGTGTTCCTTTGTAGGCTATCTGTTTCTCCCTCTTAGCCAGCTTCTACATTCTCTCTTAGCAATATAGTATTATTAAAAGTCATCTGCATGACTTATTTATTTGATAACTAGTATTTTGTGACTTTGAACTCTTTCACCCATTTCAGGAATATCTAAATAACAGCAACAATACAATATGGGATTTCTAATATTTAACTTTTGCAACTGTATAAAGCACATACTACATTGTTAAATCCCATGATGACAACAATAGCACAAAGGTTGGAAGGGGAGCAACTGAACTGGTGTATCACTACTTGAAAGAAGACATAGATAAGTTAATGATGTATACCATAAAAGCTAGAGTAACTGTCTATATAACAAAAGAAAGAGTTACAGCTAACAAAGAACTAACAAAGAACATAAAATATGATAGAAGACCTTCAGTTAATTCAAAAGAAGACAGAAAATAGGGGTAAAAGTAACACATTGGACAGATAGAAAGTGAATAAAATAGTAGACTTGCAAACATGTTATTATATTAAGTATAAATGACAAATATTCTAATTAAGAGATACAGATGGTAACAGATTGACTGATAATGTACCTAATTATTCTAGGTTTTATAAGTTTGAGCATTAGTACTTATTCACTCAATGAATATTCATTTCTATTCCTTGGGGGGTTACAGAATCTGGTACTGGGAATGCTACCTCAAACAGGATGGCCCTCTCATGTGACCCTTATTATCTGTTGTTGAATAAAGACAAGTTAATAACTTGAACAGAGGTTAATAAGTGAGGAGCTTGAGTCTTTTCTGCAAACCTGGAATTATAATGCTTTAAAATTATTAAGACAATCACCACAACTTTTACTGTTTTAATGACAAAGAAGGTTAGCTTTCCACACCTGTTACAATTAATTAAGAATGAAGCAGTATCTATGGGACCTTCTAGCATACCCAATTCTGTGCATTTATCATTTCCTATGACTCTCTCCTTGGAGGTCAATGGTTCTCAACTGGGGCCAGTTTTGTTCCTATGGGGCATTTGACAATGTCTGGAAATATTTTGGGCACTAAATATTGTCACAAAATGTGGCACTACTGGCATTGACTTAGAAGAGGTCAGGGATGCTATTAACCTTTCTACAATGCACAGAGGAGTCCCCTATAACAAACAGTCACCTAACTCAAAAAGTGAGTATTACCTTGATTGAGAGACACTGAACTTGGGTGACCAATTCTCAAGTGTTAGCACTGAGAGTTTGGCATCTCAGGAAACTCCCCAGACTCAGGTAAAGATTGAGTACCTTTCCTCCTTACCTACAAATATTAGAAAAGCAGTCTGTATTTAAGTAATTATTCATTTGGTATGAACATGCAGGTCCCCTGAGTATTTTATGAAATAAAAAGTCATAATTAATATGAACATATATCAACACATATCTTGTATAATATTATGCCAAGAATGTTACCTGTATTATTTCTTTTAATCTACCTTAACATGTGTATGAGTTCACAATTATTGCCTCCATTTTACAACTGATAAAAGTAGGATTATAGATTTTAGGAAAATTGCTGAACTTTATACAGTTGATTATAGAAATAGGATTATAAAACATGGTCTATATTGAGTGCAGTGCATATAAGGAGCATATTCTTTTTTTTTTAATTATTTTTTTTTTTAAGATTTATTTATTTGTACAAGCACTGGGTACAGTCAGAATCGCGGGAGGGTGAGAGAATTCAACAGAGCCAGAGGGGGGAACAGAGCAGGAAGACTGATGAAATACACTGCTGAGGGGAGCAGCGGGCACGGCAGGAGAGGTCTGCGCTACATGTGGGACCCTCGCTGGCGGCCAGGGATTGAACCGTCGCTGCAGAGGCTGCGGACAGCTTCACAGCCCAGCACTCAACCGCTGTGCCACCAGGGGAGGCCCAATGAGCATATTCTTGTTTTGCAAAATTGAAAATATTTCTCCACACTGTGCCAACCTGATAGCACAGCTTGCATTTACAATGATGACTATTGGAATTACAAAACACGCAAACGTACATTTGATATATCTATGCTTTCATTTTTTGAGTCGTTGCTGGTTACAACTGCACTGCATCATTTTTGCTGGTATGAAGAGGACAGTTTTCTTTTAAAAGCATGGAATTTGAAACCCAGGAGATTTGAGTTTAACTTGATATGTGATCTGGGTGAATTACTTAAATCCTCTGGGTCCCATGGAGGGAATGCGTAAATTAAATGAGGTAATCTTTGCAAGGTTCCTTGTATAGTGCTGAGTATGTCCAAAAAATTCCACAAATGGTATCTATGCTTATCAATGTGAGGAAAAAACTTGATTTAAATGACTTATTAACTAAGCTTCTTAGTAGGCTTGGCCATAACATTTTTATTAGTAGAGGAGACGGAAGTGACGTGGGTAGTGTATGAAAACGTAACATTTATCTTGTATAAAATGAGGGAAATAATGTAATAAACAATAATGTCATGGATTACAAATTCCATACATCTTTCCATTGCTTTAACAAAAGAAAAAACAGCCCCATTCTTTTTTTTTTTTTTTTTTTGTGGGATCCTGGCTGGTGGCAGGGGAATGAACCAGTGCTTCAGAGGCTGCGGGCAGCTTTGCAGCCCAGTGCTCAACCGCTCCGCCACCATGGGAGGCCCTACAGCCCCATTCTTAACACAGTGTTTCCAAAAAGGTAGAGAAGGTGGAAAATGAATACCCTATTGCAAATACTTCTTTGAGTTACATTCAGTGATGGAAATGAAATTTCTCTTTTGCCTGCTGCTAGCAGTCAGATGGCCAAATGAACAGGTGCAGTTCTTTTTCTGTTATTTGCATGAGGGAGGGCACCGCTCCTCATGTAAATATGCCTTTCGAGTTGCAATGTAATACAAATGAGTCTAAATTATAATGCACTGAAGGTAACCACTAAATAGAAAGGTATGAATCAAGTCCATTTTGCTTTGTTTAGAGTAAGCGTGCTTAACTTAGGAAAAAAAACACTACAAGTCTAATTCCATGATGATTAAAATAAAACTTATGAGGAAGGGGTAAAAAGGAGGGGGGAATGATCCTAGAAGAATCATGGTCACCAAGCTGGGCAATTCCTTGGCAAAAGCAAGATTAAGCTCTCCTTGCTTGAACAAGATTGCTCCAACATTTGTGATAAACAACAGATGGATGATGTGTAAGATACGAAAGTAGGGAGGCCTGCCAGGAACTGTCCATTCAAAGGGAACACAATTTCATTTTCATGAGCTCAGAGGAGGAAGGGCAGCCAGGAACTAACTAGAGAGCATATTCCTTTGTGTTTGTGAAGATTTACTTACCATATCGGCCTTGACTTTTTCTCTATATTCTTTTTCTCTTCTGGTTGGACTTCATGACAACCTGACTACTTATTCCTCCCTTTTTGTTTTCAGAGTGGTGAGGAGAGACACCATCATGGAAGCTGCAAATCCAACAGGTGAATTTGGAAAAAGAGAAAGTAGTTCTGAAATGATTGCTTCTGCTGCCACTGAGGCCCATCTGAACAAATAAAAAGTGACACTATACAATTATATAATTGAGGATTATATAATAACTGAGGCTGATAGCTGTGGATATCAGCTGATAGCTGTGGATTCTGTGAAGGAAGGACCCACGAATACTCTATAACCACCACAGACAGACCCCAAAATAATCACCCACAGGCAGCGGAAGCTCCAAGTTCCGTGGCGCTTGATGTTCATACTATTAGGGGGGACCTTTTATACAGAATTAAGTACAAAAATAAATATCAAACCAAACATTGACATCGCAATAAGACGCCAGAACTTTCGAGACACAGATACTTTTCCTTCTGCAATTTTGAGACAATTGCTAGAACTTCTCATCAGAAGTATCAGTACTAGCTGATAGACATTTCAGCTTCCCTCGTCGACAAGAAACACTCGTATCCAGTTAACCTGGTGCCCACAGAGGTTCAAACGGGGCCTCACCACTCCAAGTCACAGGTGGCATCTTCTTCCGACTAGAATTCATGGAGCTCACGTTCTCTGGTCTGAGGACACCAAAAATGACCGGGGAATCCAAACAAGACCCTTCCCAGTGGATGCTTGCCGTTTCGGTGTGAAAACTCCAATCGTCACGTACCCATCACTTACTGGAGATCTGCCCATAGGCCCGTGGGAACGCCGGCTCGGGCAGGCTTGGGACGGCGTCGGGCCGCGCGGGACTCGCACCTCAGCGCGCGGCGCGGGGGCGGGGGCGCCGGGGAGCGCGCCCCGCGAGGGCCGGGGCGGGGGGCGGGGGGCGCGGGCCGGGGGCGGGGTGCGGGCCGGGGCGGGGCGGGGGCGGGCGCGCGCGGGCGTGGAGCGGCCGCGCCTCGCGCTGATTGGCGGCGCCGGGCCAGGGGCGGGCTTCGCCGCGCTCGCCGGCTGGGGGCGGCTATATTGGCTGCGCTCCAGCGAGGTCGGGCCGCTGCCTCGCGCTGAGCCTGACCGCGCGCGGGGGCTTCTGAGGGCGGCGCGGGCGCAGCGGACGAGCGAGGCTGCCGAGACGGCGCCGGGGCCGGTGGGGCTGCAGTGCCATGAAGCAGCGGCTCTGGGAGCAGAGGCAGGCGGCGTGGCGAGACGGACCGGCCGGGGGCCGGGCGGCTGCTCCGGGGCTGCTGAGGCGCCGCGGCGGCCGGCGCGGAGCGGGCGGCGAGGAGGAGGAGGAGGAGAGGCGGCGGCGCGCGGCGGGAGCCGGCGGAGCGGCGCGCGGCTGGGGTCGGCCTCCCGGGCTGGGATCCCCGGGGGGAGCCATGCGGGTGGCCAGGTGGCTGACGGGGCTGCTCTGCCCGCTCTCGCTCTTCGTCGCCAGGTCTTGCGAAGTTCACTTCCACCCCCGGCAAGGTGAGGGAGCCGCGGGCGCCTTCGGCCGCGGGCGGGGGGCCCGGAGGATGGAGGCGGGTGAGCGCGCGCGGTGGGGAGACTCTGGCCCCTCAGGAGCTCCGGGACGCCGCGCTCGGTGAGCCGGAGCATCCCGAGAGGTGGCGAAGGCGCGAGTTTTCGAGGAATCGCGCGCCGGGGGCGCGTCTCTGCGGGACCACGCGGCGGGGGCGCCGGGAGGGCACCGGTGGGCGGCGGCGGGGACTCGCAGAGGAACGGGGGCTGTTGGGAGCTGCTCGGGGCTGGGGGCGCCGGGGTCCTGGCTCGGAAGGAAGCGGCGATCGAATCGGGGTGTGGGAAAGCGGGCAGAAGCCGAGCGTACGTGTGTGTGCGCGCGCTAGCGAGCGTGCCGTTTTGTCGCGCGCGGGGGCTGTGCGACCCCGGGAACGTGGACCTTAGCTTGTGGAAATAGGGGTTGGGAGTGGCCAGCGCGGGGGGCTCAGTGACCGTCTCGCTGTGATTGCAGAAGCCCTGGTGAAGACTCTGCCCTCCTACGAGGTGGTGACTCCCGCGCGGGTCAACGAGTTCGGAGAAGTGTTCCCCCAGAGCCGCCACTTCAGCAGGAGGAAGCGCAGCTCCGAGGCCCTGGAACCCACGCCGTTCCGGACCCACTACCGAATCAGCGCCTACGGGCAGCTCTTCCAGCTAAACCTGAGCGCCGACGCGGCCTTCCTGGCCGCTGGCTACACCGAGGTGCACTTGGGAACCCCTGCAGGCGGGGCGGAGGAGCTGGGCAGGACACCCCCAGATCTGCGCCACTGCTTCTACCGCGGCCAGGTCAATGCACGGGAGGAGCACACAGCCGTCTTCAGCCTCTGCGGAGGCCTGGTAAGCCCCCCTCTCGAGGGGGACCCATTCCGAGGCCCTTGGCATTTTCTTGGGATCCATTCAAGGTTTTGACACGGTGGTTGGTAACCTGAGATCAGAGTGGGCTGTCAGAGGGATGAACACCTAGGTGAGCATAAGCCAGAGATCACTTCTTCCTGCGACTGGCAGAGGGGCTTGGGGGATCAGTGTGTCTCTCCCTGCTGGGTAAAATGGATCCTTCTTTGCAGACTTGCTTATAAGGGTCAGATGCTGGGCTAGTGAGTCAGGAAGTAGCCTCTGGGATCTTAACTATGAGTGTCCTTTCACTCAGATACACCCATTCCTGATCACCCATTGAGGCAGCATCCCTTAAATCCACTCATTTTCCTTATGCTTGTCCCTTGAATTTAGAATGACATAAGGAAGAAGGAATGAATAACCTTGAAATGAAAAGGTTTGACAGGGGAAACGTTGAATTTGCTGGTAGTATGAGGATGGTCATTAATTTGTGGAGTGCAGAGTAGGGGAGAGCGTGAATCTGCCAGTTTGAAACGCGTGGCATTTAAAAAGTAGAGTCTGTCTTCAAAGACAGGGGCGGCAAATAAGAAGTGGTCGTTAGAGTGACAAGTAAAAAAGGTGAAGACGTTGTAAAGCCTTACTGTGGAGAAAGGAAATGAAATAAGATATTGAGCTGGGTTTCATTTATTTTTCTCTCCAAAACCAGTTCTAAACCATTTTTCTCCCTTCACAAGAGTGGGGGAACCCAGGAATCTTAGCATCAGTTAAAATGCATAAAATGGCATACAGGTTACTCAATGGACTTTAATGCTGACAATAATGAAAAGATTACATAGCCATTGTGATGTCTTATATTTCACTAATGCATTAAATAAGATCTATTGGCAAAAGAGGTGTATTTACTACTATACTTTTGTAGTGGTGATGAGTATAAACAATTGAGATGGTTACATCAACCCTAATGTGATATAAATGGATAATTGTATTGGTCATGAAGTTTGGTTTTACCTTCAGTCATAATTGAAGAAAATGTTAAATATCAGTTAGAAGTTAGTGAAAATACAGATGTTAGTGAAAATAAAAATGTAACTTTTCCCATCCAAGTTTATGAAACCTGAGGGTAAGAACACCTGTTTTAAAACAAACAAACTCAGTTCATTATTAACTCCTCAGATAAATGCATGTTCAAGAGGAAACACCATTCTTCCCAAGTGTTCTCACTTTTGTTGGGCTAAAAATACATATATTTTAAATAAATCATTTTTTTTTACTAATTAAAACTTCAATAGCCATTCTCTTCAGATTAAATATAATACTTCCTCTGAGATTGATTAACCTGTCTTTTGGGCTCTGAGTATTGGTTATCACTAAGTACATTTGTTAAGTCTCTGCTCTTTTTCTTGTTATTATCTTGAACTACATTTTCATGAAATGCTTTAAACAATTTCTGCTATGAAAAATGCTTACAACATCAGAATGGCTGAAACACACTATTTACACAGCCACTATACATCAAAGGAAAGAAAAATATTATTTTCTAGAAACTTTCAAAATAATGTTTAGTTTGTATGGAAAATTCTAGATTTATTACCACACATTTGTCATGGTTGATATGTTTGCTTGATTTAGTATTTTATGGCATGGAAACATTCCAGATGGGAAGCATTATTAGGAAGCATTATTAGGAGTGCTCATGTTTACTCCTAATGTTAACATAGTTCAAAAATCATTATTCAATATTACCTCTTTGAAATCAGAAAGAAGTTGAAAATGTCTTTAGATCTCAGTAGAGTTCGACCTTTTTTGCTTGTCAACATCAGTTTGGATACAGTTGCCTAAGTTTTTAGGCATTATTCTGATTTATGTACATACTTTGTCTTTGAGATGCTTATTGATATTGTCAGCTTAACTCTTAAAAACTTGTTTTCATATCTATGCAACTTAGTTTTATATTATATTACATTTGTAAGACTACAGTGATAAAGATCCTAAACTTCCATAATAACTGCAAATGACTAGAGATAACAGGATCTTAAATTCTTTTCTTAGTGGTGTGATCATGACCAATATAAGTCTAAATTGCTAACGAAATTGGTGATGTTTCTTTGACTTTTCTTGTTTTTATATTAACACTAAAATAGACTGGGTGTGTGTGGGTGTGTGTGTGGGTGTGGTTGATTGTGTATTTTATTTCTATCCTTTCTCTGTCATGGACTTCCTCTCTTTAGTCTCATATTCATTTTCAGTCTTTAGTTGGACTAGTCGGGCAAGGTTTGCACATCAGCCTTGATGTGAGGCCCAGAAGGCAGTAGTGCTCACCTTCTCATCTTCCTCTTGCTTGCTCCCTGACTTGCCATTGTGACTGTGGGCAAGCCTGTGATGCTCTCTAAGCTTGAGGTTTGTTAAAGGATTTTTAGAACCAGATTATTAAAAGAAATCCTTTTCTTTTTCTAGTTACTTTTTTGCTGTGTTTTGGTTTTACTCTTAATCATGACTGGATATTATACTTAGTCAAATGCTTTTCTTTAATACAATAAAATGAGCATAGGATTTCCTCATTTTTTCCCGCTAGCTTGTATTTTCTCATACATTACTGGATTCAGGTATGATTCGCCATGGAAAGCTGACGACAAAGCCATAAAGACCCTGTGTTCTGAGGTCTTTGTCATGTTTGGGAGGAAGGTGGAAAACCATACTTCCCTCCTCTAGTCTATTTATATCTTGTGGTAGCAGCAGTTGAGTCTGGCCTTGAGAATCTGTGATCTTTCTTCTCATTGCTCAATTTGGGCTCCATGGTCTTGCTTCCTAGGCTCTCGGTGGTGCTGCATAGCCCTTTTGAGTTTTGGCTACAGTACCTACTTGATTTTTCATTTGGCTGGTATGTGGTGTGGCCCTTAGACACAGGGGACACTTTGCCTCTGCTGCAGCTCCCTGCCCATATTAGATGGTTTTGTAATGCTAGACTTAGTTCTGAGTGCTTGAAACCTTGGCATGGCGTTTGAAAGTCGAGGGTGACTTAGTTCCTGCCTTTGCCAAACCCTTCCATACCTCTGATTTCAGTGTGCGGGTATCTCTCTCTCCGAGTGCCTTCCCTTAATCCCACATAGCTAAATTGGGGACGCTCTTCTCTTGGCCTGTCACAACTTTTGTGTCTAGGATTTTAACCCCTAGGGAAGATGTAGCACATGGGCATCTTTTGATTGATATCTGTTTCCTTTGCATCCATCACTCTAGTCTCCCTGGAATCTACTGAGTTCCCCCTACACATCTCAGTTAGTTGGCCCATTCCCCTTCCATATTTCTACTTGAGGTAGTTTCTACCCTTCCTTTCTCTGGTGGCTATTGAGGAATGTAACTTTTAGAGGAAGGACTGAATGCATTTTCAAAATATTGTTCCTGTACAGAAAGCTTTAAAAAATTTGACACCCCAACATATTTGACTCCATTTAACTGCTAATATTGCATTAACCCCAAGCATTTGAACTAATGTTTTAATTTGGGTGGGTGATTTTTTAATGTTTTTAATGTTTTTTGATTTTTTAATGTTTTTTATCTGGGTGGGTGATTTTCACCCCACTTTTAGAAGTCTTGGTATTTAAGATGTGTTTCTCATTCACTAAATCACTGAACCATGAGTAGTCTTGTTTAGTTTAACTGCTTTGTGCTCAAGAGTCATAAGGGGTTAAGACTCTGCCAGGAATTTTCCTCCAAAATGAGTGTAACTTTTGTTTTTCTAATAGTTCCTTTTCTGTAAGTTTTCTTTCTCACTAGTGTAATTATTTATCATATAACCCCAGTGTTTCTGAATCGATTTATTTATGCATTTCCAGAATATTATAGTAGATATGATAATGGAGTGGAATAATAAAATTATCTAGAAGTAATATAATGGTTAATCAAACTTTGTTTTTAATCCATTGATAAACTAGCATAGAATATGTGGTTATCAGGCCCTGACTGTAAACTTATTTTTACAGGCCTTAACTCTAACCTTCTTTCCTCTTATCTTATATGTTAAACACTCTTGCCAAAGTCTGGATCAGTATTTAAGCTGGAACATACTTGGTGTCTATTGTCAGGATGGCGCTTTGCACAGAGGCCATTCCCAGTAACTCCAGTGCCTCTCCTGGCCCTTTTCTCATGTTACCTGGTGCATTCCCTCTTCCAAAGGTCCTCAGGGAGCTACCCGACCGCCTAGACAGCCTCAGTATTTCTTGATGGGGTTTGAAGCAATGCAGTCTTTTTGGTTGAAAGAAACAGTTTCCAGATGTCATAAAATCAGACATTGCATCTGGCTTATTCAGTATTCTCATGGAGTAGCTTGTAGTGGCTGTGTGTACTTTTTTGAAGTTTCTCACGTGAACCATTCTGCAGCATGTCAGGCACTAATGCTCTCTGATGACTGATTTTTGAGTTGCTGTACTAACTTCTTGTTCAGACAGGAAATAACTGTATGGAAACTGTCAGTAGTGTCTTTACTGGTTTTTGTCTATTCTGGGAAAATTTTAGTTTTATTTTCTAAGCTTCCAGTGTGCCCAAAACTAATGTAGCCCCCGATCATCGCACATGCCAGTTTCGTATTCATATATTTTGTTGGAAAAATTCATAAGTCTCTTTTAGTTACTCACACACTCACTGTAGTACTCTGATGACATTAGGGAGAGTTTCCTGTGTCTCTGCTCTCGGTATTTTAGTGTGTGTTCATCTAGGTCCCTAGGGGGTCAGATGCCAGAATGACTTTAAGGTGAGGGATTTTATGGAAGGAAAGTCCTGCATTAGAGAACCAATGAGCAGGGAAAATAAAATCTGAAACAAATAAAGAGAGGGGAAAAGGCAGTTGTGTAGGATCTGCTGGTCTGTTGAAACAAGGTTCCGTAAGCTAAATTTGGCCAGAAGATTGAGTCTACCCTTTGTGTCCCATTGTGTTCAGGTACTGACTGGGAGTAGGACTTGGGAGATACAGCTGGGCAGAAACCCTGTGAGGGATTTCAGAGTGCAACCTG